GTATTTGTTGGCTTCTATGCCATTCAGGAAATAAAGTACAAGGAAACAATTTTTTGGTGGTGGTGGTGGTGGATTTTTTACCATTTCCCCCCCCTGCTTCAGCTCTGCCAGGCCACTCTTGTCAAGAGGCAGTGGCACCACTGTAGAAGATTGATTCACCCACCAGTACTTGTGCTCTCAGGGACCTTCACTGATTGTCAGCTGAATTCCCACCATATAGCTAACCAGGAGCAGGACTGGAAAGAGAGCAATAACATTTACCTAGGAGACTCTCACTACCAGCACCAACAGATGCCCTCGCTGTGACACATCCTGCACATCTACTTGTGCTGCTTAACTGTAGCATTTCCCCTGATTAGGTTGAACAGCTGCAGAATCCAACCTGGCCAGTGCAGTTGTCCTTTTGTGTTACTCTTTACTATGTGGGACCCTCAGGATCCAACACCCTTCCTGGGTGAGAACCATGTCTCCTTATGCTTGTGTTTTGCAGAGAGCATTTTGGCTCTCCACGTGCTACTGAAGTCTAAAACACCAGGGTCCTTAACCTTGCCAGAGCATCAGTACAAAGGCAGCAGTAGCTTTCTCCAACATGCAGAGGTTCACAGAAAAAATTACTCAAACAAGATTTAAGCAACCAAACATGCAGAGGAACAAAACAGACATCCAAATGGCAAGTGGAAAGAGCCACAGTTAAAAAACAAACCACAGCAGTCTCAAAAGAGAGAAGTAACAGTCAAATATCTCCCCTTCTGAAATTATTTGGTGCCCAGCAGTTTGAGGCACTTCACACTTAACAAGGCACGTGCTCTTCCATGGCCCCATGTCTGGCTGGAGTCCTGCTGTGAGCGGTGTGAAAGGTTTCAGACAAAGGAATTCAGAATTTAGGGAAGAGTAAGATAGGACACAGCTTACCCCACTTGCATAAACCCCCTTCCTTCCAGAAATGTAACCGTTCTTTTCCATCCTGCAAGGGTCTGTGACGCAACTTGGGCTGGGGAAACTGGGACGGAAGCGCCCACTGGAACATCGCCCCCCTTGCCTGGAATGAAGGGAGAGGTGGCAAGCAGCCTCACCACCCCAAGTGGCCACAGAAATCAATCCGAAGATTGCCAAACCCCCATAGGAAACAGCAGCAGTGAGCCCTGCCAGAGCCAGGCCTGGCTGACAAATGGGCAGGGTGAGAGTGAGGCTGCCCGGCCCAGTGGAGGAGCTCACAAGCAAAACGCCTCAGCCATGGTGGAAACGTCACACAGGAGGGAGAGGGACACTCTTCTCAATTGCCATTAATGTTAATTTAGGCTACTGAAAACACAAATAATTCCAAAACCAACTGACAGCAGATATATAGAGTACACACTAAAGCTCAGCAAAGGTCAGGCCCCTGCAGCACAAAGCCCAGCACAAGCACCCAGGAAGACCCAGCTCTCAGAGCTCAAGGCGACAGCACCCTGACTCACACTCACTATTACTCAGTGCAAGCAAGAGCATCCTGGTCCAGCGGGTCTGAACTTGCTGGCTGCAGGTTTGCAATAAAAGATGTCTTCACCCACAACCATTATTCCTGCAGCGGCTCAGACAGTTGAACAGCTGCATAAAGAGCATCAAGACCATTTTTCGCCCTTTCCCTTTTTGGGAGCTGGTCTCACCCTCCTGCCTGCCTATCCATACTGCTGTGTTTCAGAGAGGCAAAAGGCTGCAGGAGAGGCAGACCTGACCATCTGTGAAATTGGGAATTTAGAGTGTAAGTTAATTGCTAGAAGCAGCCCCTGGAAGCAGTTCAGACCAAGTAAATGTTTATTATCTTCTGGCTTACCACATAATGAAATACAATTAATTTGTTGTGGCTCTTAACTGCAATACACAACTTTCCTATATGAAACACTGAAAACATATTTTTGCTTCTTTTCTTTTCAGGTAAGTGTATTCTTTTGAACTCTGGGACTTAGTTTCCTGTCTCTTGCATTGATTTTCCCCTTTGAACTCACCCGTTGAGCCTATCAGTGAGTTTTTGGAATGTATTATTCATAGGGGGAAAAAAAAAGAAAGTGTAAAACATAAGTTTTGTGTCATACTGGCCTGTCTATCACCTCAGAGGATTACAGTTTCCCTTTAATGCCAGCTGGCTCTATTACAGTAACTAAATAAATGGAATATCTTGGCCATTTTAAACACCTGTTGTGCTGCACTCCTGCCCAGCCACCTCTGACATGCACGCCAAGGAGGGAGCTGGCAGCACGAGCCAGCAGCTGAGGTGCTTTTTGGGCTGCTTGAGCAGAGGACCCCAGCATCGCAGCATCAAATGCTGCCAGTGCCTTGGCAAGCCAGGCCTGGGCAAGCTGGGGTGGATGTACCCCATGCATGGTGGTATCCAGCTGGCTGGCAGATCCCACGTGTGTCAGAAAGTTGGCTGGATGGTTTTAAAGAAGAAAATCTTTTCAATAGCTGTTATGTTATTTTCTTTCTAGGTTAGTCTTATTCATTATTCTTTTATGACATCTCTACTAAAAAAACCCCAAAACATGCAGATGAGAAGCAGCATGTTGGAACAAGCAAATAAAAGTGGTTTGCTTTCATCTGATTTAAAAGATTTATCACATGCTCCAGGTTAATCCGTTAGGCAACATTATTCCAACAAGGTGTGGCCAGCATTTTTATAATGTATGAAACACTACTTTCAGATTTATGTGCTCTCTCTCTTTATAGTCCATATGTTGTGGATATCACAAACTGGTGTGACACAGACTCTGGAAATTTTCTGAGACTCCTGTATTGTTTTTTTTTTTGTTTTCTTTCCCCAGTAGGGAAGTCAAAGACACAACTAGATACCCATATCCAATGTACATTTAGATGTGTCTGCAGCTTTAGATGCACAAATATCTTTTCAAATCTGGTTCCATCATTTTACACACCTTAGAACGCATTACAGATGTTTTCATGCCTTAAATCTATTTAGAGTGCTTTATTACTCAGAGGAAAAAATACTGGAAACTACTACTATCCTACTGACAATTTAAAAAAATTACCCTTGGCATTCTCAGCAGCCACTTCCACTGCAGGTGAAAACAGACATACAGGATGTAGCTTGGCAATGGAGTGAGGTCAAGGATTCAGCAGGGAAAATCTCTGGAATTTTGACTCTGAGCAAGCAGCTAATAAGGTCTCTGCTAGAGAAGCGCTCCGTTGACTTACATGCATATTTCAGTGCTTTTCTAAATCACAATTCACCCAACAGACAGTATGCTGACCTATGTTTCACTATTAAGTTTAGAGTAGGACCCAAATCTTATATAGTAAAGGCAAAATCCATTCCTGATGTGAACTGGGGTAATGCTGGAGATGAATTTGACACAACTGACCTGTTTGGTTTTTCTCTCTTAAGGATGGAAAATGCAGAGACTTGAGGAGCACACCTTTGTCAACGCGCAAGAGCAGCACAGCTTGCAAATAGAGTTGCATGAGTCTTGCAATCTTTCACCCAGGGCTTATTCTAAAAACCTCTTCCTCCCCCCCCATCAACTGTAACAAAAGTTTTGCTTGAGGAAGGAGCAAGACCCAGAAGAGCTGCTCTCTCACTTGTGTTGCAATATCCAATCTGAGTGTTACTATCAGCTTTTGAAAACTGACTATACAGAAAACACAGATGATGTTTGCATATTTTAATTTTAAACATCTCTGCTTGGCATAAGGATGGAACCTAATAAGTTGCTTTGTTTCTGCCTCATGAATTAATTCAGCTTGCTAACTGATTTGGATAAAGCGTTTTGATTCCAAGTACTAAATTTGTTTTCTGGGCAGGCAAAACAACTTTTGGGAGCAAAGTAACAAGTCATTAGCTTGCCAGGAGAAGTACTTTTATAATATCTTTAAGGAATAGATCTTTTCTTTTTATAACCCACTTGTTCCACCCATGTCTTTTACATCAATCAGATAAATTCACCTTGTTTTTCAATGCCCTGAATTCTGATAGCTCTGCACACTTGATAGGTAATTTAATCATTGTTGGCGTGGATGAACACAAGCTCAAATTAGCTTCTGAAAGGCTTAGTCACCCTGTAGATAGCTCTGCCTTTCCACTTTTATGCAGGAACTGAGCTTCACCAACTGGTTAGCTAGAGGTGTCATTAAAAATTTACAGAAAGAAACAAAGGTGTGCTCCAGCGTCTCTCCTTACCCTTTCTACTGTTACTCTGGCAAACAAAAGGTATGGAACCTGCTTCATGAATGTAATGTAATATGCATAATGCATTTTTAATGGCACGCAGTAATAACATTGAGAGAGATATTTCCAATCTTCAGACTTGCACTGCAGCCTCTCAGTAGCCTGTTCTGATTCTCCCCAGATAAATCTTCTTTTCCTCTTCTTCATTTCAATTCCCCACCTTAAAGCTATGTCTTTTCTCCACAGGTAGCTGCATTTTACCTAAGCCAGCAGCTGGCACTCCTGCAAGAGGGGCTGGGGAGGTGGGAACACCTTCCCATGAAGCCACACATGGACATTTTGGGGCAGTTTGGGCCTGAGCAGCAGCCCAGCACTGGTGCCCTGAGACACATCAGTGAACTGCAACATGCTCTGGCAGGAGACACACTTGAACCAATAAAAACACCTGAGTTTCTTCCCATGAAAAACATTCTCACCACCCGGGCTGTGTCCACACTGCCTCCCTGGCTGCCTGCCCCAGACAGCAGGGCAGCACTAGGCTCAAACCACACTAGTAGCCCTGTTGGAAACGGGACACTCCAGGGGAACAGGCACATGTTGCTACTGTCATTGTAAAGGCAAATGCAAGCAACTGAGCCTGCACAGGGCCTGCTGGAGTGAGGCCTGCTTAGAGGGAGGGAGGAAGGCTGTGCCTGGCAGGAAAGGCCCTCCTGAGAGCAGAGGGGCTGGCACCCAAGCCACCCCATGCCCAGAACCCCTCGCCAGCACTCAACTCCATCCACACCACCACTTTCCCTGTAAAATAAATACTGAGCATAACCCTGGGACACCCCAATCCTACCTGTACCACCTGATCAGCCACTCCTTGGAGCCTCCCCTGGCCCGGGCAGGGCCCAGGGCATCACAGGTCTTCCCCATCAACACTCAGTGTCCTACACTGAGCTTCTGCATTAATTGATCCAGTATAATGGGCCTAATGTGGTCATCAGAGCACCTGGCACCTTCTGTGGTGCCTGTGCCACAGCCTCTCTCACTGACTGCTGGGCTGTTCAGTAAGAGCTCGGTGTGTGGGCAGCCCTGCCTGGCAGTGAAGCCCTGTTCAAGAGGGTTTGCCCTGTGGGGATTCGCTTCAGCCATAGCCTGCGATGGCAATCTGTGGGGAAGCAGCTGAGGTTCTCAGGGGTGGTAGAAACACAGAGGGACCTGGGTGCCACCATGGCAGGCAGAGTGCCATGGCCCTTGGGTGGGCAGGGTGCCACAGGGCTGGGCCAGCCCAGCAGGGCACAGGGGCCTCTGCTCACTGGGTTTATCCAAAATAAATGTACAAAGCCGAAAACAAGAGTATATACCCATGTGGGCACAAGATTACATGCACATGTAAAAGCCCAGGCTGCCATGCTGTGCTCTGCTGGGAAAAGGACAAGGGAGCCCTCCATCCTTTTCCTGCTTCTCTTTTGTATGGGCTGCAACTGCCAGATGGAGCCCGCCCTGCTGACAAGGCAGGCAGGCAAAAGGCAATGCTCAGAGTCCCAACAGGCTTAAGTATAAATGATGCACCTGCTGCTCAGGTGTCCCTGCAAACTCCCAGGCACAGACATTTAATCTTGTGGGGGGACATTCACGTTTCTCCTGGGCTAAGCAGGGACTTCTGGCAGTCTACACTTCCAAAGCAGACACTTAAAACCACTGTTTCTCCTCTAAACCCTTTCATGCTGATAGCGCTAGGCCCAGTATACCCCAGTCTTCAAAAGTGTAAATGTTTAACTGAAATCAGTGGGAGCTGGACAAATATATATGGCAGTGGTGTTCTCCAATCACTACAGACCTTGTGCAAATTCTGCTGTGCCTACATTCTGTCCTCAGATTCTGCATTCCTGACAATCTCTGTATTGTTGTAATGGCTGACATTCACAAATGTGCTTAAGCTAGATATTAAATAAAAATCACTCTGGACCATCCTCAATACTTTATTAACTTAAAACATTGTTCCAATAAATATGTGCCAAGAAACATAAGACACTCTGTAAAATCTAAATAAGGACATTTACAAACCTGTCAACAAAGTAAAAACAGCTTTTTTTTTTTTTTTAACTGAGGTACATGCAGGGTTGTTTAAGGCAAATTAAGTAAATTATACTTTTATAATAATTCCTGCCCACCTCAGAAAGTTTCCCTCTAAAAATTAAAAAAACAAAACCAAATATACAAATGATGCTATTGAGTAGCTATTTTCCAGTTATTAGAACAAGCCCAGAGTGCAGAAGCCTGTAATGGTTCTGGACAGAAAGTCTGTGCCTTCCTTGTGCTCCTGCCTTTCTCAGGCAGGATCACTTGTTGGATTGGTTTCTAGTTCTAAGGCATAATTCTGTGCTTTGGCTTTTCCAGTGGTCTTTTCACAAACTTCCTTCTCCCCACAGGATGTAGGAAGAGGTAACCCCCCATACCTCAAACACTCAGGCAGTCAGGCCTTGCACGGACAGAGAGACAGTTCTGGGAGGATAAAAAGGGCCTCTCTATAACTGATAATGCAGCTCCTGATTTGCACCAGAACAAGTGAGAGCAGACTCAGACCCAAACTGGTACCTTTCCTTAAAAACCAGCAAGATGTCAAACTGCATAGTCCTGATCCTCCAGGTTTTCCTGAAAGGAAACCATCCAAGAGTGAACCCATCCAGCACTGGACTTAACCAAGGCAAGTGCTGATGGCTCTCTGTCATTGCACCACGTAAACACTGTTATACCCATGTTTTCCTGCAAAGTGATTCAAGCTACTAAAAACTTGAAGGGGTTCATCATGGCCATGGAAGAAGTATTTTCCACCTTACAGACATTTGGTAGCTTATCCATCTTTGGAATATCAAGGCTTCATATCTAAAAGACTTATTTTCCAGTGTTATTTCAGAGACAAAGAAGAGAAAAGAAAGAAAAATGCCAGCCTTTAATTTCTACTTTCAGTCATTCAGGTTGAGCTGTCAATGCATGGCTCTGTCCTCTTCTTTCCTCTTCAAGCTCTGTTCAGAAAGATAATGCCAGGGTTCGTGTTCAGGAAATGGCTTGGACCCAGCAAGGAAGCCAAGGGAGTCTGTTCTCATAGTGTTGTAGGCTTTCTGTATTACAGATGAGGCTCATTTCAGGCCATGCTGTGTCTCCCGGTGTCTCCGTAAATCCACCTTTCGCTGGAAGCCTTTGCCACACAGATCACAGCCAAAGGGCTTGAAGCCTGTGTGCTTCCGACTGTGGGTGATGAGGTTAGAGCTCTGACTAAAGGCTTTTCCACACACCTGGCACTTGTGAGGCTTCTCACCTGCAAGAAGGAGGTGGGAAAATGAGAGAGGGTGTGAAAGAGGCATCATGCTGCTTACATGGGACCACAGCAAACAGCAAATGCACACTGGGCCTTACAGCTTATTAAACAGATTCCTGTGTGATTACCTAAGAAGTCATTCTTACAAAAAACATACAGTTGGGAGCCTCAAAGCATTAGTTGAGCCTGCACTACAGCTGAGCAGGTCTGGACTTGGATGCACGTCCATCACCCCAGTATAGTCCTGGGAGCAGTTTGAAGCACAGAGTGCTCTCAGGATACTACACTTTGTGAACATATTTGGCTGCAAGGGCTCTGTCCAATTTAAACTGGCTTTGTGCCCTAGAAACGTGAGGAACTCCTTGAAAAGTGATGAACGCATGACATGGATTACTATACCATCAGCATAGGGGCAGGGGGAATAGGTAGGTGGAGGTTGTTAAGACCAACCCAGTGGGATCTGTACCCAAGGTATTAGGGCCATTCAGTGAGCCCTGAAGGGCAGGGTTTATCCAAACATCTGTTCTTCTCTCTGTTCCCCACACTGAAATGCTAGCAGTCACAGCCTTGAAGTTCTCCTGAAGGCAAATAATGTAAATGAGAATAAATGCAGCCTCTGAAACTTCTACAGAGCACTCAGTGGCAAAACTCCACTGGCCTCCATGGGAGCAGGATCTCAGTGTATTTTCATAGTGTTTATTATCAAATAACGAATAAAAGGGAACCCAACCACAATACCAAGCCAGATTTTCAGAGTGGCTTTGCACCTGCAGAGCCCGCTGACTTCAGCTGGAGCAACAAACTCTCTGGATGTTTGAAGATAAGATTCTTAGAATCGTAAAATAATACAAAATTTGCTGAAGTCTCAGTTCACAAGTATATGCTGCATATGAACGGAATCCCTGATTCAGTTAAGGACCTGGTTTTATATTAGCAGTTTAAAAGCCCAGGCACAGTTTCTGATCTCACAACAAAATAATGGGTTTGACTGATTCAGAATTTGGCTGAAATTCTACTTAATCAAGCCTCATTTGAAAAAGTTATTATGGAAATACTTGTGTTACTTCTAATTAGTTCATTTTCATCCAGCGACCATCTAGTAGAAAATCCTTATAAGTAACATTTATTGTTCACTGCTTATCACCTAGAAAAGTCACAGTCAAGCAGCACCACATACAGTGCCATCTTTCTACATATTTGCCATTTTTAGGCTTCACCCTTGATATCTGCTAGTGGACACATCAGGAAAAAGGATTTTTGTTATCTGAACCTTGGGTTTGGCCAGTAAAGCTATTATTTCATGTCTACAAATTCTTCCATATCTCACACATCATTCATTTCCCTCTACTTTAAGTGAACAGTGCAGGTCTGAAAGGCAAGATTTTCTTTTAATGATTTCTGATAAACCTGCCTTTTCACTGAATGACATTTTTAAAACAATTTCCTTTGGTGATTCACCTGCACTTTATTAGTTTCCATGTTTATTACTAACAGTGAAACTTGAGAACTCTGCACCTCTCCTTCCATTTTGTATCAAACTGCAGCCATTTCTCAGAAAGTCCGGGTGGAAGTGCAATCTCTGAACAAATATTTAGACTAAGAGCTGGATCCTCAGCCCTCCAGTTTAGTGTTTGATCTAGAGGAGGAGACTCCTGTTGCTCCTATTGTAAATTGGTAGATCCTGCAAAAAGCAACGCTGCAATCAAATTCACCTGTCATTTCCCAGGGGCCTCAGCTGTAAATCAAGGCTACACGAATATAATACTCTACAAATCATCTTACACAAAAGCCCTTTGAATAAACATTGGTGGATCCTATTAAGAGAACACTGATTGGATTGCTAGGATTTGGGTTGTTTTGCAGCTGCTGTTCAGTAAACCACATTCAAATCACCCTCCTATGCCCAAGTATAGCTCAGATAGCATGAATAGCAGCGGGGCAGTGAGAAGCACCGGGAGATGTGTGTGTACTGTCCCAGCTGAGTAGGAATGGATTGCTGCAGAAAAACCTCTGCCCTTGTGTTGGGGCTGAATACCAGCAGCTGCAGGGCTGACCTGTGTGAATGAAGGTGTGTTTCTTCATATCAGATTTCTGGTGGAATCGCTTCCCACAGTACTGGCACGGATAGGGTCGGGTGTCCGAGTGGATGAGCAGGTGGGTCGACAGAGTAGAAGATCTCTTAAAACTCTTGCCACAGATCTTACAATCAAAGCTGCGTTCCTGCAGAGAGATGAGCACAAACACACACATTACACCACACCAATGATCCCATCAGCAACAAACTACCCAGCAGCACATCAGTGTTGTCCCTTCTGCCTTAGCAAGCTCTTACACTTCTCTAGAGAGCTAAACTGGCCTTCAGAGACACTAACACTGGCTTGATAGCACCACATGATAAAAAAGATAATGAATCCTCTCCCAGTGCTGTGCACTGCTCCTCAAAAAATTTAATTGAACAGCTCTTCCTGTTGGCAACAATAGCCAGGTGGGGGCAGCCCTGATGGACCAGGCAGTCTGCCTGCACATTTTAACAGGGGCCCGAGACGCAATCACTCTACTGGGAAGCCAAACAGCTGCAGCGCTGTTCAGAGGCCACCTCTTCACTGTACACAGGAAAGTGGGTGCTAAGGTCTGCTTGGCTCTCCTGGGAAATCCCTGTGGTAGACTGAGTTCTGCTGGCAGGGTAACAGCTAACTGCTTATCTGTAGTTCCATTAAAATTCAAGTGAAAGGTATGTAGAGCACCTGGGAAAAACAGCTTTTCAGGTTACTACTTTAACATATAAAAACAAATGCTTTAAAATCTTATGTCTCTCACCTCTCCCTCACACACTTCTTCCTCTCCACCACAAATCACCTCTTCTTTCCATCCCTTAACCTCCATTGCACCTTCCTCTTCCTTTTATGCTTTCACACAATCACCTTCTTTATTTGGCTTTTAGTGCACTCTTCCTGAAATGCTGTCCCCTCCATAGACACAGTATGCAGTGTGCTCTTTTCACCATTGTTTAATGGATGATGAGATATCTCCCCTCATTGTGTGCTCTGCTGGTTGCACACTCATGAAATTATAAATAAAACAGTTTGCAAAAAAACATTGCTGTAACTCTATCCACCAAAAGCCAGTCTGAAGAAGGAAGATTTGCCAAGTCAAGTGGGTGGGGAAGGGGAAATATGGCACAGTATCAGCAGGTGGAAAATGTTACAAGTCCTCCTACCAAAATTAACTACCATATTCTTCTGGGGTGTGACTCAGAGTGCATCGAGACGGGTGAAGTCTGTGCTCTATACCTGACTGGTCATTCAGATGTTCCCTTCACAGACACAGTGACTACAAACAAGGAAAGACTCACTTCTTTGGGGGAAGGAGGAGAAAGAATGAGGAGAGCTGCATCCAAAGAAATCACAGTGAGTTGCTTTAGCTGTTAAAGAGAAGTCCACATCTGCATTACAATTTCCAGCTCTGAGAGTGAAAATTTATTATCTGTTACCTCTGGAGTGCCAAGAGTGCCCATTGCTTAATACAGATGCATGCAAGGTCTGAGGAATGGAAACAAAGCCTGTGTTTAATTTGTTGATTAGCTCCTTTGCTCACTAGCTGCCCACCCTTTCCCCTGCTTGTCACATATTCTTCACCTACAACTGCCTAACTGCAGCCCTACCATGTTCTCTTCCCCTCCTCAGTTTAGATCCCCAACTCTTGCCCTGCAATTGCCTTCCTGCCCTCCCCAGAGCCAGCTGAATAAGGCAGCTGGCCCCAGCTCCCAGACCTTCATCCTGGCAGCCTGCCCTGCTCTCACCTGCGAGTGCACAGCCTTGTGCTGCTCCAGGCTGACTGCATGGCCGAAGGTCTTGCCACACATGTCACAGGCAAAGGGCCTCGTGCCACTGTGTGAGCGGCGCACATGCACCTCAAGGCCGTGCGGTGTGGAGAAAACCTGAGGGAAGAGAGTACACGGGGTCAGGTTCACCAGGGAGAAGGGTCTGGGGAAGAGTCATAACCAATGTGGGAGAAAGGGACCCCTACCTTGCTGCACTTAACACACTTGTAAGAGCCAGTGCTGATGAGCAATGGGCGGCACAAGAGGTCTGACTCCACTTTGATGCCACCTGGCCCCTTCTCCTGCTGCAGCCCAGGCTGCGTTTCGGCATAGAGTCCAGGAGCGGCTGTCGGCGAGCGCTCAAACAGCCCCGTGCCCGGGGAGCTGAAGTCACCATACAGTCCAAGGGAAGAGCTACACTCAGCACCATACAGGGCAGGCTCAGAGCCTCGGTCGCAGAAGAGCCCCAGCGTTGAGGTTCGCTCCAGCGTTGGGCAGGGCCTGTAGCTTTGCACAAGGTGCCTCAGCTCAGAGCCACCCAGGCTGTTCCACATGTACGGTTTGAAGGGCACCGAGAAAGGGGGCGCTTCATCTAGGGATGGACACACAGATCTCTCCGAGGCTGTGGAAACACAAGGGCATGGGAATTAGTATGCTTCACAATCCAGACACTATCATGGGGCAGAACAGTCTCAGCACTCAGACTTATGCCCAGAGGCAGACCCCTGTACTCCACACTGAGGCTGCCCTTTCATCTCTCATGGGAGGACATTTTACATTGCACATTAGGGGCTGAGCATCCAGTACTACCTACTTACTGGATGTCCCAGCCAAATTACTTAAAGCAGACATCAATTTTTTCTGTCTCCATCTCTGGGTGTCCAGGTGTATACACACTGATCTGACTGTGTAAACAGTCTAAACAACTCAGTCTGCAACTTCCTACAGTTTTATCTGCAACTTCTCAGAAACATGTATCCACTATGTTCCAAGATGGACATCAAAGCTCACAGTCCATGTTTAAGCTCTGACAGAGATTCTACACATCCATATAGCAAATATGACATTACAGAGGTGCCAGACACAGCAAATATGTACCAAGATTTACCTGTTCAACGAAAGCAGCTTGTTGCACAATTTAATGTCCCAATCTAGTCTCACAACTTCATGCCACGACCGACCATAACTATACTACAACATAACTGAAATAAATAACAGCTTCTGAGGTGCTTGCATAATATGCCGCACTTTTTCAGAAAAAAAAAACCCGAACAACTAAAATCAATTCTCATCTGAAAAACAATCATGATTGTTTCAGATTGCTCTGAGCTTCTCCATGTGAAGAAATTGAGTCCACCCACAACACAGAGCTTTGTAAAGTCATCAGTATAAGCCACATTAAAAACTGAAGACACAATTAACATTTTTCTACCAGTGATAATCAAAGCAAACTTCCATCAGGACAAGCTTAGATGGCTTTAGTTGACTCTAACAGGCTCATCTTTGGCAATGGCATCTGACCAAGGCACTGGGCACTACAATATCAATCACACTTGGGGGCCCATAGCAGAGTCTGATACAGGAGCACAGCCTTTCAGATGAGGCACAAACGCTTAGGAAGCCTTGCATGGAGGAAAGCACAGTTGGGCATGGAGCATGAGGTACCAGACCCCAACCATGTCTGCCAGAGATGCTGATTAATGGCTGAGATGCACTGCTTTCACTTCTCATCACAACACACAGCAACATTGGGAGAGTCAAATGTCTCCACTGGACGAATGTTTTAGTGAACCAAGGAAAAGATTAATCAGTTAGCTGCTGAAACACCAATGCCTTCATAGAGATATTGGCACTGCTTACAACTTGGGCTTCCAGATTAACGCCTCTTAACCAAAATCTTGTCCACCCACAACTGCTCTCCTACTTATTCTCCCGTCATCTTCAGAGCTCCCATGGCCTTTCCAGCCTTCGGTAAAACAAGATAACCAGGGGTGGACTAGGGAAGGAAGGAATGATGCATTAGGCTATCCATTTGGATAGGCAAATGGTCACTGAGAGGTTACAGAAGGGAGTGAGAAATCAGATGAAAACTGAGTTTTGAATGACATGACTGTTTCCTATCTTTTACATAATTTCAGACATTAACAGTCTCAAATTCTTCCACTGAAATTAGCAGTCTTTTGGTTGGATATATATGCACACATACCAACTGGGACATCTGAACAGAACAATGAAATCAAATTAGCTGACACGGTGCTGAGCATGATTTTTCCTGTTCTGTACTGACTGCAAAGTTGCGGTCAGTGTCACATCATCTCTTGTGTCTTTGCAACCAGTGTCAGTGTTGCCATCTCTTACGATTTTATCACAAAATTAAAAACTATTTTAAAGTCCCAGCTCTTAAAACTGCATGACTTCATCAGGCCTTCAGCTTTTTTGTTTGTTTGTTCTTGTTTTAACCTTTCCTCCCCCCTTAAAGCCAACTTCTAGTCCAAACATTAAAGAAAAGTATGAAAACAGAAACCCTTAATTTTTCAACACTAGAACCAAATATCCATAAGGTATTACTTACAATCTTGATTTCTATGCCAGCTCATCAAGTGAGAGGAGAGGGAAGGCTGACCTGATTTTTGAGCCCTTGGAATTGGCAATACAGTACACGGTGAACATTGCACCACAGATCAGTTTGCGTGCAATGTTTCTTCCATCACCTCGCATGCTTTGGAGCCCTCTCAAGCACAAGTGCAGGGGAGTCACTCACGTTATATTCAAGCCATCCAAGCCCTGTACCCAGTGTAAAAGCAACCTCCAAACCCTGCTCTGCCACACTGCAAGGTACTTCTGTGTCTGCCTCTCCTCCACTCCACAGCATCTGGGGGGGAGCAGGGAGGGAGACAAAGATTCTCCCTCATTTTCCTAGAAATTCTGTGCAGCCTTTATATAGACTACTTCTGGGAGAAAAAAAAAAAATCAGTGCTCTTTTTTGAAGGCAAGATAAACTCAACCTTAAATGGCTGATATACATAGCAAAGAAAGATTCAAGTGTCCTCTTAAACAGAGCACAAAACACCACCTTTTGCCCATTATACCCAGTACAAGTCTCCTTTCAAGACTGGAGCATCAAGAGACTCATCAGGACTTACTAATACACTGCATGCAGCTTCTGTATATACAAACGTGTGTGATTAGAGACACACACAGAAGGTGAGGTTAAATAGCAAAATGATTTGCACTAATGGAGTCAACAGTCTATTACAGAGTTAAAAGGTAGTGTGTCTGTATGCTGTATGCCCACCTAGATCATCAGCACAGCACTCAAAACCAAAAGTGAAATACGGATTTCACTGCATACTGAAGTGCAACCTGCACCTATATTCAAGAGATAAGGGGGTCATCATACTGCTCACCATGCCTGCTCTGAGCATGACTTAGAATCATCATTTCTCATCTGCTCTACCTGGTAAAACACAGGTGCCTCATCCAAACACAATCACAGGCATACAGTCTCTCACCAGGGCATCTTAGAGAAGTGACCTAGACACAAATTCCAGCTTTGCACTGAATCTGACAAAGCAGCTGGAAGGCAGAGGGCTTTGGGGGGAGCTGAGGGAGGAAGCCTAACTATCTAATCCTGCTGCCACTGTCTTCATCATTAACATAACAGCACCTGTCTCAATGCACTGAGATTCATTTAATAAAGTTCTTACACCTCTTGGGAGTTCCTTACCTTCCTGGTCCTCCTATGAATGGGATCAGACAATCCCAGAACCGCACCCCCCTACAATTCAAAAAATCTTGATCTGGGGATGTCACCCGCATTTTGCAAAGCTATTTTCCCGGGATAGCTGGATGATTGTCTGGGAGCTAGTGAATCCCACTGTCAGGGAAGAAATGAGTGGAAAAGAAGAAAAGGCAGAGTAGACCTGGTAATACCTGCTCTACTTTACATCTGCCTTTATACAACACGTGAAAACGGTCTGTTTCCTGTGCAGAAATTGTAATTATTCGGGAAAGGAGAAGCAGGACAAATTCATTAGAAAAAAAATCACCCACATGGCTACACTTTGTGCAGAAATATTATCAGAAGAGAGACTGTTGCATTGTTGCATTTGGTCTGGTCTGTCATTTGGACAGACTGAAACTGTCCTGTGGCTGGCTGTGATGATGCTGGGCAGCATTTTGAATGTTCCTTCAAAGGGGCTTAGGACTCTTAAAAGAAGATGAGGCTTTAAAAATGCAAACCCACATGATTACAATCAGCCACTGATATGCGAGGACACTATAAAGACAAAGTAGGAAAACCCGGTGGTGAACCGGGACTAAGTATTCGTTTGCTGGTGTCTGCTGTCACTTGGTAAACCTGACACAATCTCTCCTTCATCGAGGTAGAAATTGTTCTTTTTTCCAGCTGTCACTTTTTAATCGAAGCAATAAAAAATAGTTTTATATACGCACGTATTTTTGTTATAAAATGACACCACCGTATTTTTAAACGAGATAAGTATTTGCGCCTGGCTGGGGACAGCATTTCCCACTGCTCCAACCACATCAAAGGCAGGACGAGGGAGCCAGAGACAGGCACTACAGCCATAAGTGTGAGTTTCCTGGATTTGGGGTGTTTAAATCTGACCATCAATATTTTCCTCTGGTTTTTACAAATGCGTTTATGGAAAAGAAAAATAAACAAACAAAAAACCCCAATCCAAAAAAAAAAAACACCAGAAGAGAGGGGGTGGGAAGAGAGAGAGACAGATCCTTTTTATAGGCAAGAGTCAAGAAATAACCTGAAAGGGTGTTGGGGAAGATGTATAGCAGGTAGTAAAAAGCACAAAATCAGCGTTGTTTGCTACAGGTATATAGACTGCCTAGCAGAAATTCGTACTGTCTTAAAAAACTTATAAGCTCCGTGTAGGCAGGACCCTGTAGGAAAATGCCGGGACCCTTAAAAACATAACCGACCGGCTTTTAACAATTAATTACAAACAAAAAAATCAACACCCGATATCATGACAACTTTTCTACAGCCTGCTGAGGGAGCAGCGGGACACGGGCTGGGAAAGCAACCCGAAAGATGTAACCCGAAAACGAGTGGAAGGAACAGATTCTGGCAAATTTGTGGGGAGAAGAAAATAATAATAAAAAAGAGACGGGCAAATCTGTCCCTTGTACTCGTTTTCGGCGGCGGCGACCAATCACGAAAAACATGCTGCACTGCCCCACGGCACGGACGCTGACATGCAGCCGGACCCCCGCTGGGCGATGCTCGCCCCGGTCCTACCTGGAGAGACGGAGGGCGAGGGAGGTCTCCAGAAATCCTCGAACTCGGACACCCTGTCACAGACGCTGCCCTCGCAGCTGGGCACTGACTCGGAGGTGCCATCGGCAGCCTCGGTAAGGTGGGATTCCGGGGAGAAGCGCCCTTGGGAAGTCTCCGGATCGGGCGGGGCAGCGCGGCACAGCTCCGTGTCCTCGGGGATCTTGCTGTCTGCAGGGCAAAGGGGGCGAGGGGGCTCATCAGTGCGGGTCCATGGTGGGAGCCAGCCACCTCCCGCGGCGGTCTCGCTCCCACCAAGGTTTGATGTCGGACGCTCTAAAACCCCGCATCAGCCCCTCCGGCGTCCCGCGGGGGCTGCACAGCGACCGGCCGGTGCCGTGAGCAGCGGGGTGATGCGGGGCAGGCGGGCAGACTCCTACCTGCACAGATCTGGGCTAGCACCGTCTCCAGCCTCAGGCTGTAGTCCTCGTCGGCGGAGCGGGGCTGGTGGTAGCTGTGCGCTTTCTTGCTCTTCACTAGGAAGGACCTCGGCATGGTGGGGTGCTGCCACGGCCGGCACGGCCGCACTCCCTCTCCAGGCGCCGGGCGCGGCGGCGAGCGTCACCCCCGAGTCTCCTGCGGGCCGGCGGCGAGGAGGCGACCTGCGGGGAGGCGGCGATCCTGCCGGTGAGGGCCGGGGGCGCCGGCCGGGAGGGGCCGCTCGTCGGGGGCGGTGCGCCAGGTGGTGGCGCGCAGGTGGCTCCGGCCGCCGCCCCCGGCCCCGCTCGACTCGCCCCCCCCCTTCCCTGAGCGCAACTAACTCAGCCTCCCACCGCCCCCGGCCAACGCCTTTCCACCCTCCACACCAGGGCCTTGGGGCCGCCGCGGCCACGCGCCGGCAGCCCGTCGGTCGCAGCCAGATCGCGGGGAACAGGCAACAGCAGTAGCCGGGCACCTCGTTGGACGAGGGGGGCTGAGGGAGCTGGGGGTCGCGGTCGGGTGCAGCCCCGTCCCTCCGCGGGAGCGCGTCCGCAGTCGGCCCACCGGGCGCACCGCGCCTCCGTGCTGGTCCCCAAGCCGGCGCCGCGGCAGAAGCGCCGCCAACAAATCTCTCTTCCCCAGAAACTGTTTATCAGTCCCCGCCACCCTGAACGGACTGGTCAGCGCGCGGTTGCTATCGGGGCGGGCGGCAGAGTCGTTACAAACTCGGCAGCGTAAACCTGGCGCTTGAGGGGCTGTTCCTGTCGGAGGGACTGATTCACTCATCCCGCGCGAACCACGACGACGCGAAAACGAACAAAACGGAATCTTTCCTGAAGCCCGCAGCTGTCGGCGCCGCGACACCTTGCAGCTGCGGGCACTGAAAGCCGGGGCGGGGAGAGGAGACGAGGTGGGAAACCTCCTGGGGGACCCTGCGGGGAGTCATGGAGTCGAGGGGGGCCAGGGACCAGGTTAACGAGAGCTGCCCCGAGCCGGCTCCTCGGAGTAAGACAGGAAAGGTTCACTGGAACTCGTCCAGTACCGGGCCGCCTCTGCCATTACACTTGACACTTTGCAAATAACGAATTTAATCCACGTTCGTTGGGTTCTTTAAGGGGGGCGCTTCACTTCCCCCCCCCCCCCGCCCCCCGTTAGCGGCCTCAGGTTTGCGAACGGGGAAAAGAGGGAAGGGGCCCAACCCGTAGGCGGGGCGCAGGAGCTGCCCCGCAGGTGCCCTCCTCGGCAGTGCCGCGAAGCACTGGCCCGTCCGCGCCCGGCGGGGACCGGGTCGCTCCGCGCCGCCGGGGAGGCGCCGCCCACGGACACGGGGCCGGGTGGCCGGGTGGGAGCGTTGCTGCCCAGACCCACCTGCGCCTGAGTTCATCCTTGAGCGGGGGCTGGCAGCGAGGGGGCCCGCGCGGAGCAGGGCGAGAAATCAAAGCGTTCTCGATAACGCGTCGCTCCCCCGACAGCAGCGCCCGCCGCAGGCGTTGGGGGCTCCGGGCGCCGGCGCCGCTTCTGCCGCGTGTTTTCGTCCCCGGCGCGGCGCTTTTCCCTCCAAAAGCCACGCCGCGGAGGCGCCGTCGGCCTCCCAAGGCCGGAGCCGGCCAGGCAAGGACCGGGCCCGTGGGAAGGCGAGTTCCACAGCCCACCTGTCCGCCGGTCCGCCGCGGGGACCCGCCCCCGCTTTCCCCCGCTCCCGCTGGCCCGACGGCCCGTTCGGTGGCCGCCACTGCGGGGGCGAGAGGAGAGGGGACTCTGCTGTCCCGGCTCGCCCGCCGGCGGCTGCCCATGCGAGGGGAGAGAAGCGAGAGCGCTTACCCATTTGGAGGGGCGAAGGAACCTGGGCTGTTAACGGGGTACGCACGGCAGCCTGATAGTTTGGGTGATTTTAAACTTAGCTTCCCTTCAAAGAGCAATGGTGCTTGAGTTGGCTTTTTTTTTTTCTCTTCTCTCTCTCTCGACTCCTTCAGAGCTCGGCCCCCTAAACCACAATTCCACTTCCTGAGCGTTAGTTAGGAGCTTCTGCAAAAAAAAAAAAGTTTTTTTAAAAAGCCAGAACTTCACAAATCACTACTGTTCCCGTCCCCTCTTTCTCTCTCAGTTTTCCTTAAATGAAAATGTCTTACCGTATTCCACCTCACATAGGGCTCCCTAAAGTGACATCGAAGTGTCATTCTGGAATCGGGCCTTTCATTTCTCTCGGGGTTCTGCTCCAGAAATTACACAAATCTATCTGAACTATTCTTGGATCCCCCTTCGACTTCCGCAACGAGAACAAGTCACAGATTCAAAACACAGATTGACTCTGGCGGGCAGAGGCAGAGAGCAGGAGACGGGACAGCCGGTGCCCGCCCTGCCGAGCCCGCTCCGCGCCACATCCCTGCCCCCGGCCCGGCAGCGGGGGCCGCACCTCCTGCCGCCATCGGGACGTGCGTGGCGCTGTAATCGGGGCTAAGGCCGGGCCTTGGGCGACGGAGACCTCTCCTACGCTAGAAATAACTTGTTGTGGAAAACTCTTTTGGGATAAATACGCCCAACGGCGCTGAAAATACCTTAAGACCCAAGCCTAGAGGTTTGCTCATTTCCCTTCGGATTTAGGTAATGGTTAAATATGGAAGGGGTAGGCGAGATCCCCA